AAATAAGAAATATTTATATATACATAGTAATAGTATAAATTTATAGTGCCATAAAGATAATACTGTTATGTTCAGAAAACAGCGACTCAGTCGTTCCAAAATTCTAAACCTTGTATAATGTACAACAAGTAACCTTTTCGAAAGAGAGTGTTAGATTTGGCTTGTGGGCGAGAAAGGCTTTCAGTTACTTTGGGTCAACGAATGCAAGTGGGGTAAGTCACGTGTACAAGGGCTTGAATAGCAACATTTACAGGAGTTTACAAGGTTGGTAATAGTATTAGTGTTAGTGTTTATTATATACAATGTAGTGTATTAGAAGTTATTGTTTAATAAGGCAAATGAAGCATACTGCTCCAAAGAACCATTTCAGCCTTTATTTATAATATCTTTTTACTTATAAATTTATTAATTACATTTATCTCTTTAAACCCTTTAATTCAATTCCTCTAATTTATTCACTTAAATCTGTTTACTTAATAAATCCTCCTTCTCTAATTAATCCCTTTTCTTCAATTAATTCCATTTTCTTGATTTATTTAATTAATCGCATTAATGCAATTAATTGCCGGGATATCTAAATCGAGAAATTGATCATTGTACCCATTCTCATGTGAGGTCCTGGCAGAGTATTTATGTCACATTATCAGGTCTCACAATACCTTAAAAATAAATAATATAAACATTTTAAGAAATATATAAATTATTATCATTATCATGAATAAATTTTTTAAATCTATCAATATTGATTTACTTGATAAATCTTATCTTTGATATATAGTTACAATTATTAATTTTTTAATTTATTTTTTGGTATTTTATAAATTTATAGACATAAAATATAGAACTAATTAATAAATATCATTCCAAAAAATACCAAAATTTAAAAATATATGTAAAATGTTATTTTGAACAACTTTATTTAATATAATATTATTGATTTAGATAGTAAAATATTTTTTTTCTATATAGATAGTATCATCAATTTTAAATTTATTTTTTTAATATTTTATAAATTCATGAAAATATAAAATAAAAGCCTTAATTAATAAATATCATCTAAAAATTATCAAAATTTTAGTATATATATGAAATGTTATTCCAAACAATATTACTTAATATCAAATTATTGATTTACATCTTAAAATATTTTTATTATATATAGTTACGATTACCAATTTTAAATTTATTTTATAAATTCATAAAGACATAAAATGTAAAATCTAATTAATAAATATTGTTTTAAAAATTGTTAAAATTTCAGAATATATGTAAAACAGTATTTTAAACATCTTTACTTAATATGTAATTATCAATTTAGTTAGTAAAATATTTTTTTTTATATATAACTATAATTATCAATTTTAAATTTATTTTTTTAGAATTTATAAATTTGTAAAGGCATAAAATGTAACATCTAACTAATAAATATCATTCCAAAAATTGTCAAAATTTCACTATATATAAAAAATATTATTCCGAATGATATTATTTAATATCAAATTATCAATTTATATAGTAAAATAATTTCTTTTATATATAACTATGATCATTAGTTTTAAATTTATTTTAGAAATTCGTGAAGACATAAAATGTAAAACCTAATTAATAAATATAGTTCCAAAAATTGTCAAAATTTCAGAATATATGTAAAACGTTATTCTGAACAAGTTTACTTAATATGAAATTATCGATTTATTTAATAAAATAATAATGTTTATATATAGTTACTATTATTGATTTTATAAAATTTGTTTTTTTAGATGTTGAAGTTTTAATTTTTAAATAAAATATTGTCATTTTTTGATAATATTCTTAATTTAAATACTTAACTTTTTTATATTCCTTTTAATTTTATAAACTTTTGTTTTAAATTTTTAAAAGTGTTAAAATTTAAAATTTTATTTTATTTTTAAATTAAAATCTGATTTTATATTATTTTATATTATTATTTTAAATATTATTATTTTATTATGTCTGAGTCTAAAAGAATTAAAAATATTGATAGAAAAAACATTGGAGGTTGTTCACAAAAATCAATTTAGAATTTTTATAATAAAGACAAATTGTTAGATGATTTTGGATATTATGAAACTAGTTGTAATCATGTAAAAATTATTTTCTCTTGGAAGACCTTTACAAATAGAAAAATATATTATTAGTAAATGTTCAGAAGTTAATGATATTGTAAAAGAAGCAGTCATTTATATTATTGAATCTCATGAAAAGTCATTAACAAATATTGGAACAAAACATACAAATGAACAATTAAGTTTAGATGAATATCTTAAAAGTACAGTTATTCCTAATAAAAGAATTGAATCAATTAACAAAGCACTTGTTAGAGCATTTATATGTTGTGGATTATCATGGAGACTTATTGAACATCCTTTTTTTATTGAATTTTTAAAACAACTTCGATCTGCATATATTCCACCAAGTAGACAAACTCTTTCAAATAGTTTATTGACACAAGAAATTGTTAGAGTTGATACATATTTGTATAAATTATTTGAAAAAAAAATTTAATATTAGGTATGTAATTATGTTTATATATTTTAATAATTTATTTACTAATTTTATTTTTAGCTTTAGATGAATGAATTAGTCCAATAGGAAAATCTTTATAGAATTTTATTATTTATTTAGATGATAGAACTGATATTCTTTAGAAAATTCAAGATTTTTCTACTACTAGTCATACTGCAGATTTTTTAACAAAAGAAATTCAAAAAATTCTTGTTGATATTGGTATTGAAAAATTTGTTGGAATAGTAACAAATGCAGGTTCTAATATTAATTTAGCAAGAAAACAAATTTTTCAACAATATTCACATATTTTAAATATAAGATGTATTGCTCATTCATTTAATCTTATTATAAAAGATTTAATTCAACATCTATTTGCAACAATAATTATTCAATGATATAAAATATTAGTCACCTATTTTAAAAAAAGTTATTTACCAAATTATCTTTTAAAAACAAAAATTACAACAAAAAATATATTAGGAGGTGGATTAAAAACTTATATTGATACAAGATGGACAACAGTTTATGATATGTTAAAATCAGTTTATCAATTAGAAATTTGTCTAAAAGAGGTAATAATTTAGTAAATTATATTATATTTTAAATAAATTTTTATAAATTAATATTTAAAATTAAATTTTTATTTAGATTATTAATAAAAATTCTTTAATTATTACAAATAAATTTGTTAAAACAATATTTGTAAAAAAAGAAGATTTTTTAATGATATTTATAATCTTACTAAAGTTTTTAAATCAATTAAAGATGCTATAATTGGTTTAGAAGGAAGAAATGTAACATTAGCTGATTGTTACTTTGTATTAACATGTCTTGGTAATTCAATTTATAAAATTTCTGATGAAGATCATAATCAATTTAAAAACTATGCTATTAAAGTTTTTAATTCAAGATTTCAAGAATATAATTTTGATGAATATCTTCTTGTATATTATCTTCATCCACATTATAAAGGTAAAATAATTTTATTTAGTTTTAAATTTATTAATATTATTAATTTATAAATTTTAAAGGTTTAGGAATTAAAAAAAATCAGTTTTTAAGAATAGCAACTTCAGCAGTTAATATTTGGCAACAAATGATCAAAGTTCCAAAAATTACTTTATAATTAAAAAATTTTAAACATTCTAACTAACAATCAGGTGATGCTTTAATTGCTCAATTTAGAGAATTTTATTTACAAAAAATCCTTTTAATGCATCTTTTTTATCAAATAGTGATACTGCATTAAGTTGGTGATAAACATGTATAACAACACCTTCATATTTACAATTACTTGGAATTAAACTTTTTTTAATTACTCCTCATGCTGCAAGTTGTGAAAGAATTTGGTCTATTTGTGGATAGATGACTGGAAAAAGAAGAACAAAATTATCTGTAAAAATCTTGAATCAATGGTTAAAATTCATTCTTATTATATTTCAAATAGAAAAATTGAATTAAATTATTATGGTCAAAATTTAACAACAGAAGATATTTATCAAAATTTATATAATGCACAAATTGAAGAAGAAAAGAAGAAAATATAGATGATATTGAAATTGAATCTGATTTAGAACAGAATGATTTTGATAAAGAAATTGGAACATCATGGGAAGGCTTAAATTTATTAGATATTATTGAATTAGATAATATAGCTTTTTAAAATTCAGATGAAACTCTTCAAAATATAGAAAATTTGAATAATGAAAATGAATTAAATACATTTATTCAAGATCTTGAAAGTGAAGAAGATTATGAATTAGCACAAAAATATTTTGAAGATATTGATATGTTTTAATAATTTTTATTTAAAAGTTTATTTCTTTTCTTTAAATTTTTATTTTTTATTATTTAAATTTTTATATTTACAAATTTTTATTTTTAAGTTTTTAATATGAAGATTTAAATTATTAAATTTTTATCTGTATTTAATTTATATTTAGTTTATATTATATTATAAATTAGAATTTTTTCCTTAATTATTAAGGTTTATTTTATTTTAATTTATATATAATATAAATTATATTAAATCATATTATTAAATATATAATAAAATATTCAATATATTTACAATTACATATTTGAAATTTTAACTATAAATTAATGAGTTTAATTAACTAATATTTTTATTATAATTTAATTAATTTTTAAAAATTAATTACATTCTTAAATTTATATATTTATAATTTTGAATTATAGGTTTTATAATTTTAGGTTTCAGATTATAAATTTCGGGTTTCGGGTTTCGTAGTTTCGGAATTTTTTTTCAAAATCCGAAACTAGTTTCGGATTAGTACTTCCCGAAACTAGTTTCGGGTAGGTTTCGTTTCGTATAACAAGTATACTGTAAACCATGCCATAATTAGATATGTTGGTAAAACTAATTTCACCAAATTTCTTCAATTCAACACTAGTTTCGCCAATGCAGTAATTACAAGTTATAGTGTAACACTTGCATCTTTCACCATATATTAATCAGAGTTTAGATGATCGGTTCTTAAATCATATAAAGCTTTTTTGCTTCTTTTGCTTTGTAAATATTGCAATTTGATTGGTTTGTCAATGTAGACTATATATCAAAAAAATAAATTTTAAGCATAGAGCAATAAGCATTTTATATTTGTTAATATTATATTTTAACTTTATTAAAAGCAAACTACGTATTACAGTTTAAACCAAGATTTTTATTTAAATCAGCACAATATGCTTTTATAAAATAAATTTGTTCAATTTCTGGACATTGACCTAAATCAAGTTGGAATCGACATTTCTAAAATGTTGTATAGTAAGTCTTAAAAGACTTTGATTTTTTTTTCGCAGCTCCGGTTAATTGAATTTTTTAATTATTCAAAAATTCATTAATTATAGAGACACAGTCAGGTGCCATTATATAAATACTAAAAAAAAAATGTTTTTTATTTTTTAATAAGAGTTTTTTTTTAATAAAAGAAAAGTATATATATAATTAATTACCTATGTCCAACTTTAGGAATCCTACAAAGTTTGGTGTTGGGAATTTCATGACTAAGTAATTCCGCTTCTTCAATAGGAACAATTTCGTCAACTTCACCATGAATTATCAACGTCGGAACTTTAATTTCTTTTATCCTTGAAACCAAGTCAGACTGTTTGATTGCTTCCCATTGACGTTCTACGAATATATAGTCTTAGTATCAATAATTATTAGCATAATATGTGTATGTACATACTTAAAATTTCAAATGGACGGTTAACATTGGTTTTAAGTATAATCTCCGAAATTTTATCAAATTTATCAGGATGTTCAAGCAGATAATCGGCTAAAATCTTTTCACGATTAAGAAGCATATCCTTTTGCTCTTGAATAGTTTTAGGATGATCCATTTTTGGTAATTTATACAGTTGTTCAATTTTCTCGGAGAACTTTACATCTGTTCTAAAACGAGCAAAACTTCAAAGTAAAATAAAGGAAGTTAATTCCAAATATGACTTATAAATCATTCAGAAAATCTATATATGTACCCTGAGCAAATAATTAATTTCTCCAGTTTAAGATCCGACGGAATCTTTGAGGCAGTACAGAGTGCTATATTACCTAGAAATGTTTTTTTACATTTAAATTATAGAAATAATCAAAAACTTAAATTAAAATAATCATTAAAAATAATTATTAAAATTCAAACATTACCACCCATAGACCTTCCAAATAAATTAAACCTTTCAATTTCAAGATGTCTAATTAATTCAATTGTATCTTGCGCCATTAATTCAATTGTGATAGGGTCATCATAAGAAGCAACTGTTGACTCTCCAATTCCACGATTATCAAATATAATTACTAGTAATAATCAATTTGAAATAGCATTAAAGATAATGTTTGTAAAAAGCAACTTCCTTGTAATTAGTATTTTTAAAAAAATATTGTATAGATAGTAAATTAATGGATTAATGGATTGTGTAAATCTATAAAACCATTAATCTATTATAAATGAGACGAAATTTGAAATTCTTAAAATTTTAGTGCACATTTATAACTCAAAATTACAGTTCCTATGTAAAACTTCAAAAAAGTTTTCATAGAAAATTTATGAAATTTTTCATACTGAATTCTATAATAATTTTACTATAAAAATTGTGCTTGTTATAAAAAGATTCGTGTTAACTGTATTCTGAAAATCATGTATGTTGCTTCCAATAAAATTGTTTAGCATAAAGGAATATATGTGATATCTTAAATATCATATATATCTTAAATATATATATTCCAAAGCACATATATTCCAAAGCAAATATATCCCAAAGCCAATACAGTCAACTTTCCCCATTAATCCGAACATTTAATAAACTCTGAGAAAACTGAACACAAAGTTTTAGAATACTTATAGTAAATGTCTTAAACTGAACACTTTTAAAAATTTTTACATGAAAGTCAATGAAGTCCGGTTTAAGAAGGGTTGACTATATATTTTTCCAACTGTGTACCTTACCGTTTTACATATACTAGACTTTATGTCCAAGTTCCTTATTCAATCAATATTAATGACTAACCTGTTTGGTTATTCGCTAATTCTAATGGTAGTTCAATTTGATTACACAATAAATCATACATTTTTCTTAAATACAACAAAAATGACTGTAATTAACCTTCTTCAAAGCCATAAAAATGCTCTTTAGTGCCATGACTAAACAATTTTACAGATTATGGTTAAACCAGGAAATATAAAATATTGTCAATATTAAAACTGTAATATTTACAATCCCATGATTAATACAAGTGGAATCTCATTTTTTTTATTTTTAGATTCAAAAATCTTGTACGCAATTTTTGATCCATCTTGTTGTTGGAAGAAACGAGTTTCAGACATTCGTATTTAAATTTTATTTGTAACGATAAAAAAAATATCTGGAAAATGAGTGGTCATATTTATATACTATACAATTAGAAATTTGTTGATAGCACAATGTATTAAAAAAGGTTAGGAACCTATTTTTATGTTACACTCGATCCGGATCTAACTGGTATAATAAAGCGATAGTAACTTTGCCATGCTTACTAATTTATGTTACATCAATACGACTTAGGGCAAATATCATTTACAATAGGAGGAACCGTATATGTTACACAAATGATCTTTCACCCGGTGTGCAACATATAAAAAAATAATTTTTTTATATGTTGCACACCGGGTGAAAGATCATTTGTGTAACATCGACGGTTTATTTACATTCATCGGGAAATTGAAATCCTGTTGTAATAGATTACAAATTTGATAATTTTAATCAATTATCAACACTACGGTTAAAAATTATCATGTTTTGCATACGTAACCACCCTAGCACCTCCCAAAAATCAGTTATGTACAGTACATACAGGAAATTAAAATTAAACATAACTCAAATAGCGATATATATATCGCAATAAGACAATAAAGCAATACACACACGACATTGCTGCTGATTCTGTTCAAACCCTAAAATTTAAATACAACCCTACAATTTGAATAATTTATATTTGTATAGTACTCCAATATACTGATATATAGTTGATTAAAAGAATGTACCCTAAAAATAAACACCAAAATTTCGGGGTGTGAACTGAATCTGTAGCGATGAATAATTTATTTTCACTATACACGTGGCTCTCGATATAACGGACCACCGATATAATGGATATAGCTTAATACGGAGAATTATAATGGAACAAATTTATTACTAATAAATTTATTTTGATATATCAGATATTATTAGTAATCTTGTGATAT